CAGCCGAGACAGAGCACAGAGCACTGTCTGAGGGCGAAGGGCAGCAAGCCACAACACAACTCTGAGCATGCTGAACAGGTAATCATGGGAACCATAGCTGCGCCTCCTGAGCCTTTACCTCGGATGCTGGCTCAGCGGCCCAGAAGCTTGTAATCCACTCTGGGACAGCACATCTCCCAGACAGCTCTGCTCAGGGTGCTTACGTGGCCTACACCCCACTTAGAGGCCAAGGGACTGTCCATGGAAAAAGTGGTGGGGTCAGCTGTGGAAAACAGTAGGGGAATTTGGGACTGTACATCTTAGAAGACATTGAATATCCAGAGATCACATTCAAGATTTTCAACACTAACAAAATTAACACACAACAAATTTGATAGTTGCTTCTGGTCAGTGATGTAGTATTTCTGTATGAGGACCGACATCATACAATGAGACGCAAAAGCAGTAGTCTGAGGTTCAAGTAGAATTGTTTTGTTATTAGCCATGGGGGAAAAGAATTATGGGAGGGTAAGGGGGTGGTCCTAGAAGGTATGACAGTAAATTCACTGATTCACTTGTGGGAACAAAGATGTAAAAAAGCCTTCCCCCCACCCCCACTCCCTCATGTTTTTTTCCCCCAGTACTGGTGATGACTGAACCCAGGACGTTCACATTGAGCTTTATCACCCAACTACTTTTTTATTTTGAGACAAGTTCTCACTAAATTGCTAAATTGCCCAGGGTAGCCTAGAATTTGTAATCCTCCTGATCTGAGTTGAAATTTACTGGGGTCATTCCCAATAGTTTAGGGGATAAATGTGGACTGGGCTACAGAACAAGCTGACGGTACAGCCTGTAGACACGAATGTCTAGCATTAGAGGTGTTCAGTGTGAAACAGGGAGAGAACAGGCCTACAAGCCAGATCATACCAGCAGGTCACGACTACACAGCAGTCAGTGTATGTGGTGTGTGTGTTTTAGTGCAAGACAAGGGTTTTGCTTATTGTCCTGCGAACGAGGCCAATCTGGGTTCATGTCGCATTTCAGGAGCAGAAAGCTGGTTGGAAGGTGAGTTAGTACATGGACAAGTACCCATAAACCTCTCTCAGCTCACTGATGAAACAATCAGGCATGAGAGAAAGGCCAAGTACTTTCATGCCATCTAGGTGACTACTATTCCCCTCCCAGCCCCGAGGATACGCTCTGGAATAATACAGACCCTAACCTTGGAGGTGGGAGCTGTGTACTGGGAAAGACTGATGAGTGTATACCTGAAGACATGCCCAAGGGCCCGTAGCCAGGGCAAGGCCAGGAGGGTGGTGCATCCACAAAGGCCTGGCCAACTCCAACTGAGGGGACACTTTAGGCTGCACTGCTCTGGGGAAAGAACATTCTAGGGCTGGGGATTTAGTTCTGTGGTTCTGCCGCTTGCATTGCAAATGTAAGGTCCTGAGTTCAATCCCTGCTATCCCCCCACCAAAAGAATATCCTAGATAGAAAAGTTAAAGCAAAGACAAGGAAGTGTTATGTATGACAGGCTTGTTTTTGGTGCTAAAGTCAGACCCAGCACCTCTTACGTGCTACACAAGTACACTATCGCTGAGCAACAGCACCAGGCTACATGGCAGCTTCTGGTTTCTCGTGTCTTAATTCCAAATCAGACTTTTGGGCTCTTTATTAGGATTCTATGGAGTTCCTAAGTATGAACTTGATTTTTATTATTTAGAATTCACTCATTCTAGAAGACTCAATACAAACATAGGCACTACAGTTGATCACAACTCTCCAGAGGTACAGCAACATCTAAGAGCTTACTTACCAGGAAGTTTATTTTTCACTCTCTCCTTTAATACGAACTTCATTTAAACCTTAGCGCAAACAAGCACAGCTGTTATTTTAAATTTTCTCATTTCTGCTTCTCTAAGTCATGGGCCTGCAGGGACCAATCCTTCCTTGGGCTAGGTCTTTTTGCCTCTGCTTTTCTACACGTGGTCTTCCTGGGTGATAGGGGTTTTCTCTGGACATTCCATTTCGAGGTGGATGGAAATGGAGCTAGTGAGTTCAGCTTTATCAAGCAGTTAGAATGCTTATTCAGAGCCAGGGGATTTAGCTCAGCGGTTCGGTGGACTGCCTTGTAAGCGCAAGAACCCGAGTTCAATCCCTGGTACCACAAAAAAAAGAATGCTTATTCAAGGGGTAAACACTGGGGGAAATATCCAATCTGATTATGCTGGCAGCTTTTGAGAACGACTCTAAAATAACAGACAAAGTAGGAACAACTTTTTTTTTTTTTTTTT